TTTTTTTTTTTTTTTTTTTTTTAATTCCCAAATACAAATAGGTTTTTTTTCCAACGAGCATCCATTTCTCAGAACTCTCGAAAGTTCATTTCTTTCACTTCCAATGGCGGCCAGGAACTCTCTGCTGAAGCATCTTAGGGTTCATGTGCAGGCCCTGCCTAAAACCAACAGCCCCATTTTCTACGTCAACCCTTTCAATGCGATTCGACGCCGTCTCTTTTCCGAGGAGGTTAGGGGTTCTTTTCTCGACAAATCGGAAGTCACCGACCGCGTCATTTCCGTTGTCAAGAAGTTTCAGAAAGTCGATCCCTCTAAGGTACGAGAAATGTTCTATTCCTTTTAGGATTTCTCTAATTTATTGTGTCTGATTGCAAATTAAATAATTTATTGAGTTTCTGCGAGCTTGGTTTTGTGTTTTTCCGTGGTCTTCAATTAGGTTATTAGCTATGAAATTTAGGGTTGATTTGGCTGTAAATGTTAAGACAAGATGTGAAATCATAGTGGTTACATTTTGTGATTTTATTGTATTTGCAAATTTGATCGGTAGCGAATTAGAAATGTATCGTATATCTATGTTTTATTAGAAACATCTTTTAGAATAGGATACATAATTCAATAGAAAAAAAATCATTCCGCAATTGCATTCTTGGGGACCAAACAGTATAGCAATTATTTGGATCATACTTTCAGTATATACAATTTGTGTCCTCTATTATATATTTTTATAGTTATTGGCCTCTCTTTTATAGATCAGAAAGGTTTTTCCTCCTATTGAATTTGCCCCCTCTACATTTCTATAGACTGAAATGTACCCTCACTATGTTCTTCCCCCTTAATTTGTTCCATCTTTTGCTCAAACTCATGCTTTTGGCATCTCTTAAGATTACTAATGTTCTTATGTTATTATAAAACTCATCACTTTAATTTGTTTTTTCAAAATTGATTTTTTTTTTTTTCAGATTTTCTTTTAATTTGTAACTTTAAATTTACATTTTGATGCAATAAATAGTGTCTAAAGCTTAGATATTCTATGGATAAGTGTTGTTTTTCCTATGTAATTTTAAATATTGGTTTATGTATTTAAGTGTGCCATTGTCACCTTGGAGAGTGCTTTGCATGTTTCTTTTGAGATAGGCCCTTGCCTTTGCGGGGGGACTGCAAATCATATTAAGCTGCTGTCACATTAGAGCTAGGCCCTTGCTTTTGCCTAATTCCACTTCTTTGAAGGATGCTGTTGTTCCTAATATCGAACTGTAATATGTTGTTCTTGTTTCGGGAAGGCTCAGACTGAGACTCTTTTACAAGCTTTTTTTTTACATAACTAGTTAGTGACCTCACTACCTATTAAGACAAGATCTCTCCTGTTGAATTTTCCCTTTAATCTTCATGGTCCTTGACTCCTTGGTGAACCAACACCCCCCAGTGAATGAATGGAAGTTTTATGGTATCTTAACTCGTGCGATTGATCCATTTTTTTGCCATCTTTCTTTCACTGATTGATAATTGGTATTATAAATTATCCGGCAGGTTACTCCAACAGCCCATTTCCAAAATGATCTAGGCTTGGATAGCTTGGATACTGTGGAGGTTGTGATGGCTCTTGAAGAAGAGTTCCGGTTTGAAATTCCCGACAACGAAGCAGACAAAATCAATGCTATCAACCTTGCAGTTGATTTTATTGCCTCTCACCCTAAAGCAAAATAGACGAAAGCCATACATGCTTTCACTCAGGTTTCTCCTATTTCGATGATAAAATTAGATACTGTTAGATGTCTCTTATTTGTCTCTCTGTATTTTGTTGGTGGTTTTCCATTTGTTTATCCTAATTCTTATTGAAGAGAATGATACTTGGTTGAGCCAGCTTCAAGCTGCATGAGTTGAGGCAGACTGTTATTGGCTATACCAAACCTGCATGTGTTGATGCAGACTGTTATTGGCTTTAATGAATCAACTGAGTTTATGTTTCAATAATGATTTTATGAGCTTTTCCACGAACTTGTGAACTAGTTGAACTTGTGTTATATAAGTTAAAGATTCACATTTTATCTGAATCTTATAAAATCATATAATTTGTATTCTAAATTGCCAATTTGAACATAACCCAACGACTTCAATTTAAACATAACCCAACTAGTTAAGTCGTGCCTTTGATCCAGAGGTCATATGTCCAAATCTTCTCTTGGTTTTTTTAACTTTGCAAAAACATGGGGAATTCCATGTTTGAGTAAGTGCTGAGATGATTGAATCCGTTCAATTTGTTAAGCTTATTATTATTACGATGATTTGTAGATAGTTAAGGCGTTTTTGAGTTCGATGAGTACTTATTTATTCAGGTAGATTGGTTGTTTTTGTTAGATGTGGTTTAGGTATTCTAAGAAGAGAACACTTTTTTTTTTTTTAGATGTTTTTGTTCGATTGCAAGTGTTGGTTTGGGTTGGGTTGGGTTGAATTTTACTCATTTTATTTTTCCTTTTTAAAATTTTAAAAGTGTTGATTTAATCAATTATCAAACCCGAATCCTTCTAAGGACTCAAAATTTCCAAGAAGAGAACATTTTACAACACAAAATGAAAAATGAAAAATAAGAAAAAAATTGTAACATTCTGAAAAATTTCACTAAAGTTTTGAAAATTTAAATGAAAATTTTTATGGGTATGGAGAAATAGAGAGGGCGTAAATGGTAATAGAGAAGCTCACAACTATATTCTTAACCAATTGTATTGTACCAAAGCCGAATATTGAACCTTACGCCATGGTATTTTTCTGTAGACAAGTTTTATAAACATTGAAGAGAAATAAATAATTCAATGATTTGATAAAAAAAAATATTACTATGATTGAAGAGAAAAATAAGAGTATTTGTGTCTAATACTAAAATAAAAGATAAAGTTTAAACCTTATGATTATTACGGAACCATAGACATTTTTCAAAAAGCAAGTTTAATCCTCTAAATCCCTTGCGAGGCCATTCTAAACCCAATCAAAATTAGTAATTCTCTAAAAAAAAATGCTCAATAAAAAAGTGCCTTCTCACAAGCCATCTCTAACATAAGCTGAAATCCAACTAAAACCTAATAAAAAGATCATAAAAAATCCAACCCAAAACTAAACATAAAGACTTTTGAACATTACTACAAAATCAACCAACATCAAATGTTCATAGAAAAATAATGTTCGGATCATGTAGGAACTGTCATTGTCTATATTCAAATGTTCCTGTCCCAAACATCTATATACAGAATGATTTCCAACTATCTTAGCAAGAAGAGGGATGCTGTTGAATTGCTTCTTCTAATCGAGTAGATATACTCTTCCTTGCATTATATTCTTTGAAATTCTAAAGAAGAGAAGAGAAGAGAAGAGAGATTTCAGCTGGATCTTACAGCATCAATGGCGAGAACCAAATCATCAAATTTTGCCCCAGTTACTACTTTAACGACCTTTTTGTCCTTTAGAATTTTGAAGGTCGGCACGACTTTTATCCCGAGTTCCTTTGCCAATGGCTGCCAAGTAAAATCACCATGAGAGACAGAACTCAAGTGTTCTTGCAAGAAAGTACGGATCATGAAACGAACCTTATTGTCTTGGTTGCAGTCGAGCTTTAGAAAGACAACGTCGAGATATTTCTCGGACAACTCTTGAAATTTTGGGGCCATCACTTTGCAGGGTCCACACCTTTAGTGTAATATGTAAAGACGAAAAAAGAAAAGCAATTAAGATCATAAGCTTGGAAGTTCATAAACACAGACAATAATTAATGAATATACACTTTTCACAAATGATCAATGTCGCAAGGAGTCTGAAATAGCAGATCAAAACAAGGCCAAAGAGAAGATTCTGCCCGAAAATTAGCGAAAAGTTCATGCATTGTGTAATTAAAGCTAAAGGAAAGATCAGAAAGATCCAAAAGGTCATAACATATAGATGTGATTTGAATTAAGTTTGCTCTGCATCCAAATCGTGGTATGAAGTTGGTTAAATCTATAGTATTCAAACAAGTTAGGGATCCTTTAACACAGAGCTCAATGATGCTTCTTCAAACAAGCTGTTCAAACAATTTCAAACGACACAGTCCAAGAATTACTCAATGATCTAATATAAAATAAAAATTATTCAATGTGGCAGCCACATTGTTCCAGCCTCTTCAAACAATTCTCCTAATACTGTCACAGAAATTTCAGCTACTGAACTGAAGTTAGGCCAGTGCAAGATGTGAATTCAAAATAATATACATTTCAGAATCATTTGACAATCAGGCGGACTAACTAGCACCGAAGTTTCTTTCCAATTTCATAAACAACGAGATCTATACTCTACTCTACGCATCGCCTAGCTCGACTAGTCCGTAAAAAGAAAGTAGCAAACCAGAAATGACGTACAATTATAATAACATTCATATCCAGAGCCAGATTCCTGAACAATCTCATGCAGTAACCTACAGAAATCACAAAATTAAGAAGCAGAGACATATGGATGCACGGAAACACGAACCATTGGGTGTACATATCGAGCACAACAGTTTTATCACCAGCGGCATTGACGATGGGCCAAAACGTGTCTTTGTTGACCTCGGTGACCTTGCCGACAGTAGCGCCAGCAATCTCCAAGCTGGAATTGATCTTGAAGGACCGATTTCCACTGGAAACACCAATGCTCCTGCTACTAGTGACACTCAACCTCTTTGAACTAAAGCAGCCGCTCTTAGCATCGGGAAGTGCGGCAATCGGCTGCCTTCCGCTGCAGGGCAACGACGGCGAGGATCTAATCGACGGCGGAGAGAGAGAAATACGCAAAGCCATGGAAGAGAGAGAGAGAGAGACTGCGAAAATGGTTCAGGAATGGCGGAGGAGAAACTGAACTGAAGCTGCCGGACAAGACGTCAAGGGGGACGAGTTAACAGAATTACGAATTTACCCTTAAGGTTTGAGAGAGCTGCCGCAAGTGTTAGGGGTGTTTTGGTCATTTAGAATTGTGGATTGTGGTGGAGAATGGGTGGACATGAAAAGACTTAAATGCACTTTTTTGGTTGAAGACTGAGTGAAAATTTCAGGGGTAGGATTGTAAATGTACGTGAATGAATCATCATTCTTTTGGGGATGTGTGAAAGTACATTAATGCCCTTGAGATACCTGGCTTCGAAGTGTGAAACAAAGGGCTATTTGAGGACAGGATAAAAAAAGAATATTCCTCTTAAGTTTTGAGTTCCGAGTTATTTTGAATATATTCCCGTTCAAAAAATTAACCCGAACACAACTCGAAATGTCACCCAACCAACCCTTATAATTCAAATTGGGTTAATTCCGATTGTCGAGTTGGATGTACCCTAATATCTACATAGTCAACATCAATACTTGCACGATTCTTATTGATGTCAACAAGTGAATGGTCGAAACTGGTATCAAATTCGAAGTGATGAATGAATCTCGTCATCGAAACTAGTATCAATGTTAGTTTCAAGCATACTGAACTATGAACGTGAATTAGTATTTCCTCGACCAACAAAATTAGTAATTCATTATCTTTCACTGCTTGTCTACATGTCGTGTCATTTAGCCATTAAAATCACCCACAAAAAAAATTAATAAATGAATTTCAATATTATAGAATTAAAAAAAAAAATTACAACCAAAAGAGATTTTTTTTTTTCTTTTTTCTTTTTTCTTTTTGCTTTTTGCTTTGGGAGAGCAAAATAAATAAATTATGGTAAAAAAATAAAAATAAAAAATGGAAAGAATCTATTGAAGTAAAAGGAGGGTGAAGGGTAATAGCCATGGAAGTAGGCTGCCAATCAGTGCAATGGGTGCAGCAGAAGCCAGTCGGTGGGCTCCCACTGTGTACACTTTTCCCGACTTCTCATCTTCCAATTTTATGCCTTTAGAACCTGCGAGTTAGCAATGATATATAATATAAGGATCGAGTTAACTCGATAAGCCGACGTGAACAACCGTTAAAACATATTCTCTTTTCCTAGAGTTCGAAGGTTCAAGTTCTCTCACCCCGAGTATGTTGTTACATAAAAAGAAAAAGAAACTAGCACTAAAACACGAGTGAAAAACCGAGCAAAAAGTTATAGTACTGTTTCATGTGGAAATATTATGATATTAGGAAGGGAAAGTAGTTTTTCGGCACTGTCCTAAAACATGAGTAAAAAGCATACGCGTTGACTACTAATCACGTTCTCTTTTTCTAGAGTTCGAAAGTTATCGTTCTCTCACACAGACAAAAAACTAGCCCTAAAACACGAGCAAAAAAAAACCCTAGTATTGTTTTCCATGGAAATATCATGAGTAGCAGCTTTTCGGAACTGTCCTAAAACACGAGCAAAGACCAGCTCATGGTGCCCTAACAGAAAATCAACCAAAAACTGGCTGAGAGCGAAACTACTCTTGGGTGTTAGACTACTGATCATATGTGTTAAGATCATCAAATTTGAGCATTCTTTACACTAACGTCGAAAAATATTGACCGTAACTCATGCTTTAAATGACTCTATTAGGGTTTAAGTTAGATGGGTTCGTACTAGAAAACGATTGAACTAAAGCAATAAAGGAGATTGAAAGAAGCTCACAGTTGAAGTCAGTCCAACCAATGGTCTGATTCTCAAGATTATAGTAAACCAGCCTGTTTTGAAGAACCAAGTCTGCAATTCAAAAGCCATGAAAATGAATGAATTCAAGCTAAAAAGTTCTAAAAAGCTTAGATTTTAAAACATGAATACAAGTAAATGATACCTCCAAAGAGAAAGATTTCCTTTCCATTTTTGGAATTACCCGCACTACTCTGCCACCCAATGCACCATATATCATCCTGCATACCATGGAAACATAGAAGCTTCGTAACTGATAACGTTTTTGTTTTTAGTTTTCGGTTTCAATCGGTAAGCGTTACATAGAAGCTTCGTAACTGATAACGTTTTTGAACACATTACTTACACGAATCTGAAAGAGATATTCATGAGGATAAATAGTCAAGTTTAGGGACTCCTCAAAATCAAATGTCACTGATGGAAATGCCTCGTCCACACTGAAATAGTACAAACAAAAGAGAGAAGAAACCGAGGTCTCGTTAGAACAGTCGAACGGTATCAAGAATGACAACATTTTCACTTCAAGAGACTTGTTCGACGATGTTGAAATTGAAGAACAAAATGGTGTTCCAAAAAGTTGTCAAGCCTCCAAATGATGTAATGAAAATCACCGCCCTTTTATCTTTCAGTAACAGCTCAAGCTCACCGCTAGTAGCCGTTACGTACCGCATTCGACCTCACAATTTTAAACCGCGTCTGCTAGGGAGAGGTTTCTCACCCTTATAATGAATGTTTCGTTCCCCTCTCCAACCGATGTGGGATCTCACAATCCACCTCCCTGTGGGGCCAAACGTCCTACTGGCACTCCACTCGGTGTTTAGCTCTGATACCATTTGTAACAGCCAAAGCTCACCACTAACAAATATTGCTTGCTTTAGCCCATTACGTATCGTCATCAGCCTCACGATTTTAAAACGCGTCTGCTAGGGAGAGATTTCCACACCCTTATAAGAAATGTTTCATTCTCCTCTTCAACCGACGTGAGATCTCACATTTCCAGTCCAGAAAATATTAAAAACATACCAAAACTATTCATTCATATAACACAATATTCTCTATACATCAAGTCATTATTCTGTCACTGAATGATATTTAAACATCAACAAAATCGAAACTGCCAAAGAATGATATACGCTTCGAAGATCAAATGATAAGAGTAAGCATCTAACCTTTCCTCAAAGTGAAAACAAGTAAAGTCCTTATCAACTGTATGTAGTTTCAGATCGGGTTGGGCAACCAATATCTACAGCATATGTTATATCTTTTTAGGAAAATGAAACATAGTTTAGCTGCAAAAAAGCTTACATAAAGAAGGGTCAAAACTTTATCTTAATACCTTCTTCACTAAGGGCTGGAAAATGTCCTCAGGAAGATAAGCAAGTGTTGTGCCACTGTCAATTATTGCGTCCCTTCTATATGAAAATTCAAATAGTCCGAGAGGAAGATCAAGAGCGGTGCTTCCTACCTTAACTCCAATCAGAACAACATTGTAGTGAGCCCTGAAATATATATGTGTGTGTGTGTGTGTGTGTGTAAGTACTTCCTTTTGATGAATATAAAACTCGCTAAATTCTTGACATGGAAGCGAACTTAGGAGAGTGGGAAAAAACTTTGTTAATGTAAACTTAGAACGTCAAGTTTGGTGGTTGTACCTCTTTAGTTTAGTCCCTAAACGTTAAAAGCGTAAAGTAGAAGAGCATACAACAAGCTTGGTAAGTCCTTCACGAGTTGAGAAAATTTTGAAAGACTAGGATTCTTCAACTTTGAAATAGAAAACACTAACTTAACAGTGGCATGGTGTGACATCTCACATCAGTTGGAGAGGGGAAGGAAGCATTTCTTATAAGGGTGTGGAAACCTCTCCCCAGTAGGGAAAGCCTAAAGAAGACAATATTTGCTAGCGGTGGACTTGGGTTTTAACAAATGGTATTAGAGCCAAACACCGAGTGGTGTGCAAGCGAGGAAGTTGGGCCCTTAAGGGGGATGGATTGTGAGATTCCAAATTGGTTGGAGAGGAGAACGAAGCATTTCTTATAAGGGTGTGGAAACCTCTCCCTAGTAGACACGTTTTAAGACCTTGAGGGGAAGCCCTTGAAGGGAAAGCCTAAAGAAGACAATATCTGCTACGGTGGGCTTGGGTTGTTACAAATGGTATTAGAGCCAAACACCGGGCGATGTGCTAGCGGGGACGTTGGGCCCTCAAGGGGGATGAATTGTGAGATTCCAAATCGGTTGGAGAGGAGAATGAACACCCTAGTAGATGCATTTTAAAACCTTGAGCGTAAGCCCTTGAAGGGAAAGCCTAAAGAGAATAATATCTACTAGCGGTGGGCTTGGGCTATTACAAATGGTATCATAACCAAACACCGGGCAGTGTGCCAGCAAGGACGTTGGGCCCTCAAGGAGGGAGGATTGTGAGATCCCAAATCGGTTGGAGAGAAGAAAAAAGCATTCCTTATAAGGGTGTGGAAACCTCTCCCTAGTAGACGCGTTTTAAGACCTTGAGGGGAAGCACTTGAAGGAAAAGCCTAAAGAAGACAATATCTGCTAGCGATGGACTTGGGTTGTTACACATGGAATGCTTATCGGAAAATTTTTAGCTGACATGGCATGATGCAGCAGGCATATGGGAAAAGGGGAATGGGGAGAGGTAGTGTGACAAAATAAAGCGACTCATACGAAATTAAGTGGTTCAGACAAAAGATCTTCTTCCTTCTATAAAGTGACTGTTCAGAACGGGGCGAAAATATGGCTGATAATGAGGTAAGGTAAGCAGTTTGAAAAGATACGAAGATCATAACAAATAAGATTTGGAGTCAGTACACATACTGATCAGGTACCACTGGTGTGGTTTTCACTCTTGGCGCCACCATGTCTCCAATGGCAAAAATCCCACCCCCGTTTACATTATCCAAGCAATGTGCAAAAATCTTTTTCACCTTCCCAGATGCAGCCAACTGAGAAATCATAGATGAATTTGCCTGTCCAAAACCAAGTATTCCATCGAGTGCTTCGGATGATGTGCCGAGCTCCCCAGATTGTTTAGCTCCACACCTGAACCACACAAGTAAACTTGAGATAAAGAAGTAGAAGCAGCATTAGATATTTGAACTTCTATGATTTAAAAGAAAAGTGCACTTTTTTTTTCCCTGATAAGCGGGGATCGGAGCTTTGCCCCCCGACACTTAGGGGCACCCCCACCCGACACATGCACATGCACACACACACAAAGTTATTTAATGAGCAACAAGTGACCAATTAAAGAGAATAAATGTAACAATTCAAGTCCACCCCTAGCAGATATTGTCCTCTTTAGGCTTTCCCTTTCGGGCTTCCCCTCAAGGTTTTTAAAACTCGTCTGCTAGGGAAAGGTTTCCACACCCTTATAAAAAATGTTTCGCTCTCCTCTCCAACTGATGTAGATCTCACAATAAAAGTACATTTAAGCATTGGATTAGATAAGAAACCATATCGTGAAACTCCCGGCACAAAAAAACAAAGCCAAGTCCAAGTGAAACTAGAGACATAATATATCTCGAGTCCGGCAAGCATTTGTATAAAGAAATGTGGAAACATGTCGATAGTTATGCACGATCTTTAAAAAACAACCATATAAATGAATTTTTCGGAGTAAGACGAAACTCTTCAGGTATTGCTTTATTCTCGTTTCAAGCTCAAATCTACTCGAAGAATAACACAAAATGCAGCATGTAGTGATTGTACTAGCCCATGATATACAGTTCAGGTATCACTATACCTTTTATCTACATAAATATAAGATACTTTCAAGTAAGATTGTGGACAGTTCAGGTTGTTTTTGTGATTAAAGTAGAGGATCACACAAAGGAAAAGGAAAGTGAGTACCCAAATATTATACTGCCATTAGTTGCAGTAGTTTTATGTTTTCCAACTACTCGTTGGAGTTGAACATGATCCTTCACAAAATATCCAGACGTTGCACTTCCATCCCCATAGATAATTTTATATTCGCAGGGTACATCCGGCCTGCAACCTTCGGTCACACTTTTGTGCATGGCCAAGCAAAATGGTTCATCACAAGTAATCAAGCCTGCAGTGCTCGAGCCCTTCGGATCATACAGTTGCAACTCTACCTGTAAGTGAAGAATCAATGGTTATTTTTCATCATGATTCATGAGAGGTTGAAAAATTCAATCACATCTAAATAATTTACACAAAGTTTCAATGTTGAAGAATCATACACCAATATCACTTTCCTTCGGACAATTGCTGCAGCCCATACAGTTCACCCATAAAATGTCACTCCCTGTGTCCACTTGCACGTGGAAATCGACTGGAGGCGTTCCAAGGCCGATCTTGGCGAAGTATAACCTTTATGGATCACAAACAGAATCAATCTAACATCCCAATTGCATAAAGGAATTAACAGGAAAAGAAAAGGGGTGGGGTAAACGTAAATTCTTTCAGAATTATCACATACTCTACTTCTTTTTCATTTTATCATGTAGTTCCCAAAGTTTGGATTTGGCTTCTATCTGACCTTTCGGTTCGAGAACTAACACTTTAACTCGTAACGAACATGGGGTGGAATTTGAACCTCTGACCCTAAACGAAGCCTTAACCTCTGAGTTACACTCATGGTGGCCAAAAACAAATTTCCTTTTGATGAGTTTAAGGAAAAATGATGTGACAATTGTATCATCCTAGGTAACATAGTCATTAGTTTCTTAAAAGTTCATATTAATATTAAAAGAGTGGTGCAGCATTAGACTGTATCATCCTGACCCAAGCTTCAAGGATGAAAAACATAATTTATGCATTAAACTATAGACTAGATGTGAGATCCACATCGGTTGGGGAGGAGAACGAAACATTCTTTATAAGGATGTGGAAACCTCTCCCTAGCAGATGCGTTCTAAAAACCTTGAGGGGAAGCCCAAAGAGGACAATATCTGCTAGTAGTGGGTTTGGGCCGTTACAAATGGTATCAGAGCCAAACACCGGGCGATGTGCCAGCGAGGAGGTTGGTCCCCAAAGGGGGTGGACACGAGGCGGTGTGCCAGCAAGAACGCTGGGCCCCGAAGGGGGATGGGTTGGAGGGGTCCCACATCGATTGGAGAAGGGTATGAGTCCCAGCGAGGAAGTTGGGCCCCGAAGGGGGGGTGGATTGTGAGATCCCACGTCAGTTGGGGAGGAGAACGAAACATTCTTTATAAAGATGTGGAAACCTCTCTCTAGCAGACGTGTTTTAAAAACCTTGAGAGAAAGCCCGAAGGGAAACCCCAAAGAGAATAATATCTGCTAGCGGTGGGTTTGGCCGTTACAAATGGTATAAGAGCCAAACACCGAGCGATGTGCCAGCAAGGAGGCTGAACCACGAAGGGAGGTGGTCACGAGGCAGTGTCCCATCAACGATGCTAGGACCAAAGGAGGGTGGATTGGAGGGTCCCACATCGATTGGAGAAGGGTACGAGATCCAGCGAGAACGCTGGGCCCTGAAGGGGGTGGGATTGTGAGATCCCACATCGGTTGGGGAGGAGAACGAAACATTCTTTGTGAAAACCTCTCATTAACATACACGTTTTAAAAACCTTGAGGAGAAGCCCGAAAGGGAAAGCCCAAAGAGGACAATATCTACTAACAGTGGGCTTAGACCGTTACACTAGATTTCTAATGTAAGATTTCTAATGAGCAAGCCAGCTAAAAAATTCATCTCAAGAACCATTTGAAACCAAGATATAAACAACAGAGACTAAAGGATCATGACATCCCACAAACAAAATGCAACACCAAAAACATCTAATCAGAGACCAAAACACACAAACTATAGTTAATGATATGAACATCATGAGAGAAAGAGCTAACCCTGTTTCTGCAGGGTGTCCATTGCCACCCAGTTGGAGATCAATGACAGAGAGAAGCCTACCATGGCGACGAAGATCATGAGACCTCAAGGCATTCAGCGACCTCTCTCGACCCTTAAACTTATGCTGCACATCAAACACCAAATTGCAGGACACAGATAAGCAAAACGAGAACAAAAACAAACCCAGTAAAGCCTCTCGCCTAAGATCCATGATTAGGGCAACTTTTCGCGACGATTTGAAGCAAAACCAGGTTTCAATAACAGCAATGGATAATCAAATGGCAGCGCAAAAGAAAAGAAAAGAAAACGAAATAGAGAAAGAGAGCAAGTTTAGAGGAAGAACGAAAAAGAATCGATCGAGTTTTCTGTTGGTTCTCCCTACCTCTCTCGCTCCCTCTCTCTGTCGCTTTTGAAGAGAGAAATTGTTGGTTTAAGCCTCTCTTTCTCCCACACAAAGAATTCTTCGGCTCTGAGATTTCCTCCATTGGACGCCATTGAACTTTACATCTCACCATTGCTCCAAAAATGGTTAATGGGAATTGCGCAATCTCAATTTAGGGCTAAAAGGAATGCCTCAAACTCTGAAATGATTCTTCGCTGACAAATGGAATAAATTGAAAGTGGAAGAACGACTACAGTTCATATGACAAATTTATCCATTTCTAGTCTCTCTGAAAACTGAATTTATGCATATCAATGTCCGGAAAATTTTAAAAATTCATCCATTTTTCAACGTTTTTTTTTTTTTTTTTTTACATCATTTTAAAATTGTTATTTATATGACAAACATTAAACAAATTTACGACATTTAATTATCAAATTTGTGGCGATATGATTTTTGGGTTTACCTAACGAGCCATGAATACAGGGTCGAGACAAGAACGGGAATGCCACCTATTTCAATTCTTATTCTCGTTCCTTTTTTTTTTGTGATTGGTATTTTTTTTTTCTTATTTCTATATTTTTTTAAAAAAATATATTCATTTCGCCTGATAAGAACAAGAACGAGAATGCCACCTATTTTGAGTTCTTATTCTCATTCCTTATTTATTTAGGTTAATGGCAATATTTTTTTTCCTAATTTTTATATATTTTTTAAAAAAATATATTTGTAACCTGTCCAGATCCACCTACCGCAGATATTGTCCTCTTAAGGACGCTGTGTCAGTAAGAGGTAGACACCGGACGATGTGCCAGCTTGCTCGTTGTTCTCCGAAGGGGGTAGACACGGGACGGTATGCCAGTAAGGACACTTGACCCCAAAGAGGGGTGAATTTGGGGGTGGTCCCACCTCGATTGGAGGAAGGAAAGAGTGCCGGCGAGGACACTGAGCACAGAAAGGAGGTGGATTGTGATGTCCCATATTGGTTGGAGAGGAGAACAAATCACCATTTACAAGAGGGTGAAAACCTTCCGACGCGTTTTAAAGCCTTGTGGGAAGCGAAAGTCCAAATAGAACAATATCTAATGTATCTGGGCCGTTACAATATTCATTCTCGAAAAAAAAACTTTTAATGGACGGTTTTCTTTTTTTAAAATAAATTCTATTAATAAATATAAAACATTCTAATAAATTCAATAATATTTCATTTGCAAAAATATAATATATTATATATAAAAATAATCTTTCTTTGCTCTCTCCTCCTATTCCCTGTTAAACTTGAATTCTCCGTCCCATTTTGAGTTAAATAAATATATACATTTCGAACACATTCGATACATTTCAGAATTAAATGTCATACTAAATACTCAGTACTCTTGCTTCAACACTAGATCCAAGAAGAGTCGGTTGCTTTTTGAAAACCCTAACCAGTAGGTTTTTCTCGAGAAATATGCAGAACCTAATAGTAGACTGTCTACTACCAGAACAAACAACCTAATCGACATCGGAGAGTACAAAGAAAGTGGTCAACAATCCGAAGAAACAGAAACATTACAAACCAACCCGAGTAAGAAAATAAAGACAAAAAAAAAGAGATTTTTGAAAACCCTAATCAGTAGATTTTTAAAACTAGATCTAGAAAGAGTCGATTGCTTTTTGGAAACCCTAATCAGTAGATTTTTTCCGAGAAATATGCAGAACATAGTAGTAGATCGTTTACTACCAGAACAAACAACCTAGTCAACATCGGAGAGTACAAAGAAAGCGGTCAACAGTTCGAAGAAACATAAACATTATGAACCGCCCCGAGTAAAAAAAAAAAAAATTAAAAAAAAGAAGCTTTTTGAAAACCCTAATAATCTCACTGTTCCCAAACTAGCAAGAAAAAGAATGTTCGAGTGGGTTTCCCCTTCATTTCAGAATTTTCCATTTCTACATCTCTTTCTTCCGTTTCTTTCAACTTTGGTCTCGAACGTCTTTCTATCAATCGAGAGAGGGTACATAATAGTACAACAAACCAACAAGACAAGAATGGACTCATAAGATGCTGCAAGACGAGAAGAGGAGAGGAGAGAATATGTGAGACAGTAACCTCCAATCGTGTAACGCCCCAGATCCATCGCTAGCAAATATTGTCCTGTTTGGGCTTTCCCTTTCGGGCTTCCCCTCAAGACTTTAAAACGCGTTTGCTAGGGGAAGGTTTACACACCTTTATAAATAGTGGTTTGTTCTCCTCCCCAACCAATGTGGGACATCACAAATCGAGTTGCAGTTGGCCTTATTTCAGTTAGAATAAGTCCCCGATACTTTATCTTTTTAGTAGGTTCTTTAGTCTTCGCTCTCAAGAATTAGTACACCCTATTCTCGAAAGCCAAAGAGCAGCTAAACTAAGCAACTTGTTGGAAGATTCAACTGCTTTTCGAAAACCCTAATCAGTAGATTTTTTTCCCGAGAAATATGCAAAAGTAGACCGTCTACTATAACAACAGTCAACCTAGTCGACATCCAAGAGTACAAAGAAAGCGGTCAACGGTCCAAAGAAACAGAAACAATACGAACCGAACCCGAGTAAGAAAATAAAAGACAAAAAAAAATGGCTCTTATAAAGAATTCCCCAATTTTTACATTTTCATTCCATTCCTTTCATTGGGTAAACATTCCCTTAAGACATAAATTAGAAGCCATAAATCCTTCATAGAATTGTCAATAAAATAAGAACAAGCCCAGAAAGCAACACCAACAGCCTTCTGAAACAACGCCCTGTTCTTCCTTCTGAGCCGCCATAATCTGGCTCAATCGTTATACCAAACCTGCAATTCCCAAAGCTTGGATCACTATTGGTCACTGTCGACAGCCCTGAAAACTTGCACGCATCCTCTGCTTGATTGCTCATCTGATAGTAACTGTTAAATGCATAAGAAATGTTCGACCTCGCATCTAGCCCCGAACAAGACGTCCCGTACCCGAGACTGGTGCAATCAGCATGGTAACATGCATAGCTGACGCTCGGTGCAACCTGCGAGTCTTCAAGGTGAGCAGATGGCTTCATCACGCACCATTTTCGTTCCAAATAACGCACATTTTTGGCTCCGACTAAGGACCCGTTGTTTGAATTTCCGAGGCTGAGTTGGTACTTCGGTCGGCCATCGTAGTAGAATATGCCCCAATGGCGTTCGAAGTTCCCTGGATCGATGCTCTTTGAGTCTTCGTCGATTAGACTAAATAAGTACGTGTCGATTGGACCTGGTCTCATTGGTGTTCCTTTCCCGCCTAATATGTGTGACATATAGCCTTGATTGAAGCGTTGAGCATAGATGGGATTGGCGTTACGATCCCCGTCTGTTGGCCAACCGATCTCCCCGACTATGATTGGTAAGTTTCCATAGCCATTCTTCTGAAGCGCCCACACAAGAGTATCGTAATTTGCATCGAACATGTTGAAATATGTTGTCCCGCCATCGACTAGGGGTGTTGCATTGCCATCAAAGAAAGCATATTCGACGGGGAAGTTCGGGTTGCTATAGAGACTGATGAAGGGGTAAATGTTGACGGTGAACGGAGAACCGGAATCGCTCAAGAACTTGACGATAGTAAGCATGTAATCATGTATATCAGTTCGGAAGTCGCCACCCGATGGATAGTCGGTTGACGATGCATAGACATCGGCATTCAGCGGGACGGTTACCTTTACTTGGTTGCCTAGATTAGCTTTTATAAGAGCACTCTGAACATTCCGCAGAGCTGGATAGGTTGTGCTGAGAAAGCTTCCATTGTAAGTTGCCAAGAAAGGCTCATTCCCTACAGCAACATATCTGAAAACGCATAATTAACCGATCAACCGATGCACGACAATCTGAACGGGTATTTTCCCGCGTTGTCAGCTTAATAAAAGTACAGGACAATACACGAAAATCACACGAACATGCGGCGTTGAACACGCACAGCTGCTAAAGCAGGTCGGTAATGTGTTCGGCCTTGCATATTCATACGTGATAAGATGACAACATGTCAGCTTAATAAAAGTACAGGACAATACACGAAAATCACATACGAACAAGCGGCGTCGAACACGCACAGCTGCTAAACAGGTCGGTAACATGTTCTTCTAAGCTCGTGCCTATCCCAAGGTGTAAACTTTGAAGATAACAAGGATTATCCTTATTAAGCTCACGTGAAGATTCGAACATGTAACCTGTAAGTAGGCGTTACTGAAAGACGGCAAGCTTTAAACAACGGGGCAACCTTTAAGGACTAGGATGACGGGGTTACTTGGATTAAAAATTTTAAAACGAGGGAGATATTAGTTTAATGGTTCGTGTATGAAAAGCAGGAGTTCTACCATCTTAAGTCGTGTCGTGTTGTGCCGTGCCGTGACATCATTTTACCTCAACCGTGTCCAACCGCAAGAATTTAGTCCAAACTCTATTTTCTCGAGACTTACCGTGACAATTGTTTCAAACCATGACTATGACCAAAAACCAGGTCCCTCCAACTCTGGTGAAAAGGGTAGCTCAGAATTGTTATTCTCTGCTTGCCCTGAAGTGGCTTTAGAGAGGATAGATGGCATAAAATCAAGGAGGAAACTCAAGCCCACCACGGGTAGATATTGTTATCTTTAGACTTTTTTTTTTTGTTTTCCCCTCAAGATTTTAAAACGTGTCTTCTAGGGAGAAGTTTCTACACCCTTTATAAAGATTGCTTCGTTCTCCCCAACCGACGTGAGTTCTCGCAATCCACTGTCCTTTAGGGCCCAGCGTCCTCGCTCGCACTCGTTCCCTTCTCCAATCGAAGTGGAACCCCACAATCCATACCCTTCAGGGTTCAACGTCCTTACTGGCACACCGCCCTTCAGGGTTCAGCCTCCTTGCTGACACATCACCCAGTGTCCAGCTCTGATACCAACTTTAACGACCCTAGCCCATCGCTAGCAGATCTTTTTAGGCTTTTCCTTCCGAGCTTCCCCTCAAAGTTTTAAAACGTGTTGACTAGGGAGAGGTCTCCACACCCTTATAAAGAATGCTTTGTTCTCCTCCCCAACCGATGTGAGATCTCATAATCCACCCCCTTCAGGACCCAACGTCCACGCTAACCCTCGTTCCCTTCTCCAATCAATGTGCGACCACCCAATCCACTCCCCTTCGTGGCCTAGCGTCCTTACTGGATACCATCTTGTGTCCACCCCATTCGGAGCTCAGCCTCCTTGTTGACACATCACCAGTGTCCGTCTCCGATATCAACTTTAACGACCCTAGCCCACCACTAGCAAATATTGTCCTTTTTAGGCTTTCACTTTTGGGTTTCCCCTCAAGATTTTAAAATGTGTCTGCTAAGGAGAAGTTTTCACTCCCTTATAAAGAATGTTTTTTTCTCCTCCCCAACTAACGTGGGATCTTACAATCCACCCCCTTCAGGACCCAACGTCCTCGCAGACACTCGTTCCCATCCCCTTTCAGGCCCAGCATCCTTACTAGTCCACCGCCTCGTGTCCACCCCCTTCAAGATTCAACCTCCTCACTGACACAGTGTCTGACTCTAAGACCAACTGTAACGACCCTAGCCCACCACTAGCAGATATTGTCCTCTTAGGGCTTTCTCTTTCGGTCTTCCTCTCAAGGTTTTAGAACGCATGGGAGAGGTTTCCACACGCTTATATAGAATGCTTTATTTTCCTCCCCAACCGATATCACATCTCAATCATTCAGATATCACATCTAACCTTGCTAGAATTAACTAACAAGAGAAAAGAATCAAAACGTTAAGTTCAATTAAGACACCATAATGAACTCACAGGAAAGCAACACAACTTAAAAAAAGTGACCCAAAACAACACAAAACAACAACAACAACAACAAAAACTCACCTAATGTTAACATGGTGTTCATTAATATGAACAGAGACATTCTTTGAAACCCATTTCTCAGCTGCTTTCTCACTGTTAGCAAAAGTATAGAGCATATCATTAGGAATCCCAACCATGACTTCAATCCCAGTCTTCCCCAGAGCTCTAAGCGTTCCATAATCAGCATCGAATAGCTTCACTTTCTGAATCTGATTGTCCCTCAGCATCCTAACAATGGTCTCCGGCGGCAGCGGATGAGTCGACTGAGTACCCCAGTTAACACCTATGGCCGCCACAGAACAAATCACTGATAACAACGACACCAAACCAACGGAGCCTGACAACAAACAGCAACCCATTTTGCTGTTCAACATCTTCAAATGACCCAAACAAGAAAAGAACAAGAAAAGGAACCTTCGAATCAGAAAGGGAAATGGTTAAACACCCTTTTCAGCTCATCAGTAACAACATTACACAGTGATCTCAGCAAGAAGATCCGGAAGAATCCGCCATTAAAGAGGCAAGAAAGCTCAAAAACTTGCCAAAATAAGAAAACCCCAGATGAGAAAAGAGAAAACCCACCTCAAAAAAGTGAAGTAAAGGCAAGATTGAGCTTCAAAATGCCGAGTTTAGACCCGAAATCGAACACGGGTCGACCCGGATAAGACGCGAGCCCGAAGTGGAGAATATTTGGGGGTTTGAGGAATGATTTTGGGAGGGTAAAAGAGAGGGAAAAGTTAAAAACAAAACGAGGGAGAATTTGGGAAAAGCATTGAAATTGATGAAGTGACAATTATTAATAATAAACTAGGGATGTCGGGGAGTGCAGCATCTTTGATGGGTCAGCCATCGCTGGCATTGCATTAGTGGCAGTGGCAGCTGCTTTTTTCAAACAACCATTTGAGCCATCGAAGTTTATCAATATCGTATCAGCTTCATTTGCTTTTCATTTGTATAATCCTAAAAAGTTTCAAGCCTGTCTTGTTTCAGAGATTTTCCAGTTTCTGGATAAAAAGTTTCAGACGACTCGGTCTGATATCAAGGTCTGATATCAAGATATTTATCTTACACTACGTTTGGTAAATATTATGTTTGTCGACAATATCTTGTATTTATCTATACTCTTTTCACATGCTTGATTTTCACACTCTTTAGTGGTTTTAGCAAATATTCTTATGCTATTAGAGTCCTTTTGGTTTAGCAATCCCGATTCTTTATTTTCAATGGTTATGAATCTTCTGCTCATCTTCTTCCCCACCACCATCAGACTTTAACGCCACATGGGCAGTTGCCATGACTGCCGTAGGCAGAGCCGATTGATTATCTTCGGCTTCACCCTTCTGACCTCCAAATCATTATGTACAAGACAATATTAATGAATTAGTGGTTATAAATCCTCTGCTCATCTTCTTCCCCCACCACCGTCCCCTTTAACGCCGTAAGGACAGTTGCCATGACTGCTACAGGCAGAGTCGATTGATTATCTTCATCTCCCCCTTCTGACCCCAAATCCTCGTTTACAAAAACAATATTAATAAATTAACAAAATGGTTAATATATTAATTTTTTTATTATTTTAAAAAACATCTCTAAACTATTTTAAAATTTTTAAAAGTATCTTATACGTTTCAAAACTATTTATAAGTCTAAGTAATATTAAAAAATTTATAGATAATTTAGAAAATGTGCCTATTTTTTATATATATATTCTTCTAAAATTTATTTTTTTAAATACGGTAATGACGAGTATTTTTTAAATGTATTTTTAAAACAAATAATATAAATTTTCTTGAATTTTTTCAATTTTTTAATTAAAGATATTTTAAGTATAAAGTTTAAGAGCATATTTATTAATTTATTATCTACATTTTTCTATTATTTCTAATATTTTTTTAATTAATAAATAACCACTAGGGATATTTTTGTTAGATTTTAATAAATGGGGATGACTAATTTGTTACAATATAGTGGCCCTCATAATTAAAGCATGTTTTATTTAATCAAGTAATTATTGCACTTTATTATGTTGTTTTGTTAAGCATTTATTAAATAATAATAAATGTTAAATGTGTTTTATTTAAAAAATAATAATAATTAAAAATTTGGTCTCTTAATTTTGATAAAAAAAATTGAAATTGTATTTAAAATTTATATTTAATAGATTAGTTTAATTATTATTTTTCCCGATAGCGTCTATTTTTTTTTGTTGATCCAGAAGTATTTCCATGGGTTTGCCTTGATATCATGTTCATACGGTTGTATTGAATGATCCCGGTCGTTTGCTTTCTATTCATATAGTGCATACAACTCTAGTTACTGGTTGAGCCGGTTCAATGGGCGTATACGAATTAGCAGTTTTTTTATTCATTTGATCTTGTTCTCGATCCAACATGGAGACAAAGTATGTTCGTTATACCCTTCATGACTCGTTTAGGAATAAATTTATGGGGGGTCGGAGTATCACAAGAGGGACTATAACGAATCTGGGTATTTAAAGTTACGAAGGTGTGGCCATAACACATCTTCTGTTTTCTAGATTGTGCTTCTTAGCAGCTAGCTGGCACGGTATCTAGTTTACTTTAATTTTATCAGATATTTTAGATTTAAGGGTTTAATTGTTCTGTTATTAGATCGAATTCTCGAGAGTTTTACAATATTAAAGATGATTTTATCTCGATTAGAGATTTTTAGCTGCATCTTAGATCCAATTGGTTACCGTTTTTATATTAGAACATCTCAACTAATTTCACGAGACAACTATTCCGCTCTCTTTATTTTTTAAGTCCGGAACTGAGAAGGGCAATTTCGTAATTTGAAATAATTTAATTTTTCATCGTTTTCTCACATATTCACATGCATTTTTAATTTCATATAATCCTTAAGCTTTCCTAGTAGCGCTGACGTGGCGCGTGCATGGTTTTATGTGAAATGGTATCTAAATCACGTGATTTAATTTTGTCTGTTTTAATCATTAATGAGCTGGACATAAAATATAATTAAAAATTGAATTTAATAAGAAAATCATTTTTATTAATTGCCTTGCAATAAATCCCTATAATATGTTATTTTAAAGTTTAAATTTAATTTTATAAAATATAGTTTATATCAACATTATTATTATTTTTTTTTTGTGATAAAATATAGTATTTAATTATATATATAACAACAACCTATGATTAAGTTTGTAGTATTTATCGTGCATTAAATATAAAAATATATACATTCCACCGTGAAATTCGCTCGATAAGTGTATCTTGAAACAATCCACCCACGATAACCTAGCCCATCACGACATATGTGAAAAATCGAGCATGCCCTTTTATGCCAACGTGCCTACAGGTCCAACCTTCATATACTATGTAGGACGATATTTCCTCTATGGATGAAGCTGGAACGTATCCACTATAAACGGAGACTGACCCATTGATCCTTTTGGTCGACTGTTTTGCGAATAGAATTCAAGTGTTTATCGATGTTATATGTCAGCACCGTTTGAGAGAATAGAAGTTGAAACCCATAATGGGTATTCCTCGGACTAAAACTGTTAAAGCTTGAAATTACGAGCATGACGTATTAAAACTACTGTAAATATTGAGAAAGACGAAGCTCAATAATTTTGTTATTTCTTAAATTTTTATTCTTCGATATGAATATCTTTTATTTTATTTTTAAAATTAAAAAAAATTAAATGTTTACTTTTAGGAATTAAAATTATAGAGTAAGGTCTTCGCCGGCAAATTCCGATTGAATTCAATTAAATTGTTTAATTTATTTTTTTATTTTGGTAAAAATATTGGCTCGTAAAACCTAAAACCCTTTTTATTATCTTGCATTCAAATCCCAAAATCCCTCTCAAATTTCCCCTTTGATTATCTCCCACCTCAATTTTCCCTCCCAATCTGCTTGCGTTTGAGTTTTTCTACCTCACTTCTGTTCCTGGATCTCTGTTTTTATGGAACGTTCCGACGAGGAGCATCGAATCGCTCCTATTGGTATGTTATCTGCATCTTGTTTGACTACTGATTAATTCCGTCTTCTTTCTGGTTTTGAATTGTGTTCCTTGTCAAATTGCCAGTTCTTTTTCGGAATTGTGCTATGTTAACTTCTGTATGATGAGATTTTGTCTGTTTTTGATTTGCGAAATTGAACATGAGTGATTACGGGAGCGATTGGTTTTGGATTATTGGGTCTGTGAATTGGGATTTTGCTGAAGAACATTTTGATTTACCCGTTTATATGCTAGAAAAAAGAAAAAAAAGCGCCGACAGAGAGCTAAATCATTGTAGTTTTTGTTTTTTTTACTCTTTTTTCTTCCGGTCTTTGAATTGACACGGACCAGCTGACAGTCGATCATCATTGATCTGTCTAAGATCTTCATAGACTGAGAAAGTACCTTGATTATTACTCCAATAAGGTTTAACAGGTCAAGGTACTCAGTAATCCACTTTCTTATTCTTGGTCTTAATTCGTTGAAGGGGAAGATATTTCCGGTTATGTGACCATCTTCTAGGGTGCAGAAATATAAGCCGAATGTGTGTATGGACTTACTGGGATCTTAATGAGGAAAAATTAATTCTACAAATGGGTATTTTCTATGTACTTTTATCCTCTATAGGGGCACTGAACAATCGATTATTTATGCAGGAGAAAGATCTCTTAGGCAAGATAACCTGAAAGAGCCGGTAAGGCTGCTGAATTCCTTTAGAATGTTTTCCCTTGTATTTGCTTTGCATGTTTATAGGTTTTGACAATTGATGTTTACTTCTGGTATTTTTTTCCCGATTCATTACCAGCAACTCTCACCTAAAGGTGGAAGAATTGCTTCAACAAATCCTTCTCCAAATGCAGTAGTTATTGGACCTTCAAGGGATGCCATAGAAAAGACTATGGATGCAGGAACAAGTATTAGCAGTGTTCACCCGTTGAATGTATATGCGTCACATGAACCAAATGTACAATATGGTGGTTAGTTCTCCAACCCTCACTTCTGGTATCCATTTAGGATTGGGACATCTTGTATTCTTCTTGTCGTAGGATAAGTATCAAGAGGCTTGAAGCTGAGATTTTGGAGAGAATCTCAGAACATCCTAAGCCCTCTACACCACCTCTCGGGGACCTGTGATCTTTCTTTGATATCCTTGGAAAGGAAGCCGGAAAAGATCATTACTGTAGCTGGAAAGGAAGCCGGAAAAGATCATTACTGTAGCAAGCTTTCTATCCATAGCAATATTAGACTGTTTCAGTGTTTTCAGCTTGCACACAAAACTTTTAAAGCTCAGGTGCTAAAACCCCTCCTCAGACGTCCAGTTTCCTCTAGGAGGGAGACCAATATTAGAAAGGGGTGGTTCATTGATGTTATAATGGTATCTGACAGCTACCTATTGACATCTTCCCTGGCCCAATATATATCCATAACCAAGAATGTTGACATCACTTTCAAGCCTAAAGCCAGCCTCTTCAAAGAAGGTCCCTTCAAAGATTTTTTCATCCTAAACAAATTATTTTTTTGATAGGAAATCTTAAACAAATTATAGGATGAGAAAAGGATATTTTCAGCTTATAGTTGGAGATAATTATGGAGAAATACCATAATAAGGAATCACCCCAAGGGAAGGTAAGATTCGGATTACCTCGTTGATCAAATATTTCAAGGTAAGAACACTTGTTTGAGATTTTACTCACTTTACAAGCAAGATTGATCATGTCTCAGCCATTGGAAGATTCTCATTCCTTTCTTGTTAAGTTATCCCATAGAAAGCTCTAAAAGAATTAAATTGAGCCACAATGCATTTGCTTTCTTTTTGAAGGGGTG